AAATCAGAGACATGGAGAAACATTTCAGCAAATGCACAAACTCAGAGGTCACCCTGGCCATAGTGAGATTGAATTTTACTCAGAGAATGGGCTTCCAAAGGCAGCCAAACCCCACCTTAGTTCAATATGTGAGAAGACATGAAAGCAAAATTTGCTCTCCAGAATCCACAACACACTTCTCAAAAAGAGAACCCAATGTACCTTGTATTAATGTGTAGTGTAGAGTCATGGAAGGGCCACTCATAAGAAATAATCATATCCAGATATAGCCATAGAGCCAGTCAACATTTCCGCTATTGCTCACACCCACGTGTTGATATTTATTTTTGTTAATTTGTCATTACTCATTGATGTTATGTAATTTCATTAGCTGGACAATATGAATATTAAAAGTTAGATAATGTTTATAATTTTGAATACCCGTGTCAGTGAGTTTCAGCATCTCTGTCTGTTCAAGTCAATTTTGCAGTATTAAAATTTCCCACAAATGAATGATGCAATGCGTAACTGCATGCAGTAAAATACACCAAAATATTATACAGTTTTGTATGTTTTCATAATCAATTCCCCCCCCACACACACACACAAAAAACAAGAAAATAGTTAATAAAATACTAAAAACCTAAGTTGACCACTCTTAGAGATATTATCACAGTGGAACACTTCATGAAAATCATGGAAACAAATTCCAATAGTGCTGGTTGTGTGCTGAAAAAAAAATTCCTGAACAAAGCTAAATAAAAGAAAAGGATTCTAGACGTTTGTGTTTGGTTTTCTTCTCTAAACTGTGTTTGACCCATACTGGGAATATGCTGGCCAAAATCGTGTTTATTATTGTTACCTCCTCTGTTGCTCCTTTGATAGTACAAATATTGACACACAGGTGGAGCAGTTCACTACTGTGCTGACCTTAAGCCGAGCATGCCTGTTCTCTCTATCACTTTTTATTTGTTCCGGACATGGAAATTAGAGCATTGTAATAACCTTCTTGAGCTGATCAGGGTAAATGTTTTGAGCAACGTGACATGATTTGCGACTGCATTGCAGATGATAAGAATGTGAAACCTTTAAACTGAGTATTCTGGTTGAAACAATACGTTTAGCTCAGAAAAACACATCAGAAGATTGAGGTCCAGGCCAAGCTGTTGTGCTGAGTTCCAGCATTGTTCTACTGTGGTGTTGAACACTTACCACTGAGAGGAAAGTTGCGAATCCGATTGCAAGTTATACACCCTAGGTTGTTGTTGTTTTGTCTGGCTTGACAGTGTGTTGTGGTGTGTAGTACACAAAGCTCTGTGCTGAAGGTTCAACATTTATGATAAGTGCCATCTTAGACATTTCATGTCTCTCTGTTGCACAGGAAAGCATGTTTCATGTGAAATGTAAAAGTTAAAACCCTTGCGAGATCCAATCAAACAGCTTAGTGGTAGGAAAATTGAATTCAAAAAGAATGCTGTTTCATTACTTTACTTTTGCAGCCAACCATCACAGAACACAACCCACAATTACTGTAGGAAGGCAGCAGGAAAAATCAGTTCATGTTTACCATAGCAATTAAATTACCTGATAAACATTTACCAAGATAAGATGGGCTCAGATTGACCCCATGTTAGTGACACAAGAAACTGAACTGAATGATATGATCTGTGGTGATTAAAACTAAAATATTTAAACTGAAAACACAATCAGAATGCAATACACAAGGAAGTCATCATATTGTTAAAAACAAAGACTAATCCAGACTTCAGGCTCCAAAGAGCCATGACTACATTTTTTACAGTTTGCCAGTCTGCTCTGTAAACAGGGATCTAGTCACTTAAGTTATTTGGAAATAAACAATTTCAGTTGGCCTGGTTAATACTGACACAGTTTAGATGTGTGCCAAGCCATCAGATCACTGTGGCTTGGCACATCCCCTGAGGGAGGAATGCAATGCAAAGTTGATTATTTTTCGTGTCATTAATTAATTGATACAATGCTGTGAACAAATAAATCAAGAACCTAGAATCCCAGACACATTCTTTTGAAATAAATCAAGCTAATACCTTAATTAATTAAATCAAGCTAATATTTAATTAATATTAGATGTACTAATTATTCAAATGTCTACGGAATGTTATTACAGATTGCCTAATCCACTGGTCATGTTGATCTTGTATAAACACTAATATTCTGCATAAAAAATATATACCTACACTGTAAAAAATGCTGGGTTAAATAAAACCCAGCGCTGGGTGAAATATGGACAAGCCCAGCTATTGGGTTGTTTTGACCCAGTGGTTGGGTGGAATGTTTAACCCAACCTTCTGGGTAGTCAACCACTGGGTCAAAACAACCCAATAGCTGGGTTTGTCCATATTTTACCCAGTGCTGGGTTGTATTTAACCCAGCATTTTTTAGAGTGTAACTACAGTATTTGTTACTAGAAAACATATTTGGAGTTTTCCATTATTTTTGTAGACATTTTCTAGACAATGTCAGTTTAAATATCACTATTACCCATCATAAACCAGTGCTTAAAATGTTTTGTCCTATCAACCATTTGCTGACTGATCGAAAAGCATAATTTGCTGTCAGTCTGAAATGGCATGAAATGCAGTTACAAACATATGTAGTGAAGAAAATAGCTTGAGTGGAAATGACAGCTGAACCTGTGATTGTCACGGTCACTCGGGGAAGGAAGGAACGAGGAACGGGGAGACACTGAAAAACGTTCAGAACTTGACTTTAATTCGAGAAACAATGAGATACCGAACACAGGAACATCAGGATGACATTTAACAGCCAACAGAACACACTGGGAAACACAGGGTTTAAAAGCTCAGAAACTAATGGGACACACCTGGGAGCAAATGAACTAATTAATGAAACACAAATTATAACCAATGAGGACAGGACACAGGAAGAACCAAATAAGGGCAAAACAGAACATACACGTGACAGATCGCCCCCCTCCCGGACGGTGCGTCCTGCGCCGTAACAGTACCATCGGGGAGGGGAGGGTGGGCACCCTGGAGTCTGGTGCAGGACTGGAACAGGGCGGAGACAAGGGAAGCCTCCAGGGCGGGTCAAGAGGCCATGGCGGAGCAGGCAGTTCAGGTTGCCATGGCGGAGCTGGGAGCTCAGGGAGCCATGGCGGAGCAGAGAGCTCAGGGAGCCATGGTGGATCAGGGGACTCAGGAGGCCATGGCGGATCCTCCGTGGCCTTAGCTGGCTCGGCCATGGGTATATGCCCCCCCAAAACTTTTCTTGGGGAAAACTAGGAATCCTGGGCGGCGCTCTGGAGGAGTGGGCACTTGAGGGCGCTCTGGAGGGGATTCAGGGACTGGAGCCCTCACTGGGCTAAACTTGGGAACAGGAGCCCTCACTGGGCTAAACTCGGAATCAGGAGCCCTCCCTGGGCTTAACCAGGGATCAGAAGCCCTCCCTGGGCTTAACTAGGGATCAGGAGCCCATCCTGGGCTAAACGAGGAATCGGGAGCCCTTCCTGGGATAAACGAGGAATCAGGGAAGTGCTTACGAGGTGCTGGCACTGGAGGGAGCTCTGGAGGAGCAGGCACAGCAAGGAACTTTCGAGGTGCGGGCACTGGAGCGAGTTCTGGGGCTGGAGCCGACGCTGGAGCGAGCTCTGGGCGGGAGTGAGCCACGACCAACAGGCTTGACTTTGAAGTGGCCAGCGGTCTTGGCACAAAAACGGCCGGTGGGCTTGCCACAGGAACTTCGGAACTAGACTTCGGAACTGCTGGCGGGCTGGAGAAAGCCGTGGCCAGCAGGCTTGACTGAGGAACGGAGGGGTCCCGGATCGGGATCGGAGGCTCTCCAGACACCGGATGACTGCCTCCTTCCAGTCGAGGTTGGTGGTGTCTGGGAGCTCCGCGGAGCGACGGTAAGTAATCCCGATCCGGAAAAGCGTCACAAGGGTTTCTCCCTCGAGGGAGCTGGCGAGGGCAAGCGGCACGAACGGCCTAGCGTAGACGATCGGGTCGGGGTTCGCCTGAGCTACAGCGATGAACCTCGCTAGTTCCTCTGTGTGAGCAGGGAGAAACGAACGGGAAAACAAAATGCTTTTAAAAACCTGAAAATAAACACGAGGAGAAGAGGCGCCGCTCACTTTCAGTTCTGTCACGGTCACTCGGGGAAGGAAGGAATGAGGAGACGCTGGAGAACATTCAGAACTTGACTTTAATTTGAGAAACAAGGAGATACCGAACACAGGAACATCAGGATGACATTCAACAGCCGACAGAACACACTGGGAAACACAGGGTTTAAAAGCTCAGAAACTAATGGGACACACCTGGGAGCAAATGAACTAATTAATGAAACACAGCTGGACACAAATGATAACCAATGAGGACCGGACACAGGAAGAACCAAATAAGGGCAAAACAGAACATACACGTGACAGTGATATGAAGCATGAAAAATCAAACAATCATTCAAATACTGAATCAGTTAAATATATAGAGTGTGTCATAATTCTTAATTTGTAGTAAATTGTGGTAGATTAATAAATCCACATTTTATTAATAGCATTTTATTTTTTGTATTTAAACAGGTCTTTTGTTAAAATCTAAATCTAAATAAACATGAAAAGCATTATAGATAACAACATTATTATTTGAATTTTGTTTATTAATTTTGAACCACCAAACAATCAGATATTGTTTTAAATATCCAAATATTGTATCAGCTCACAGATTCTGTTGTGGCGGTTTACAACTAAAAGGTCTGGTGGACTGATTGGACAACAAATAAACAAATCTGTTGCTGTGGTCTACTGAACAATCATTTATCAGACACATTTACTTATAGTACCCTTATTATAGGGACACAAGTCATGCCTACAGGGACAATGGTGATAAACGTACACCCTTTCAACCCTTAGTATTAGCTTATTACCCTTCAGTTATTCAAAAGTGATACACACAGTTATTTGCGAAAATCATGTGTTTCTTAAAAAAGAATCTAAATGACTTTACCCTGTGTTCATTTCTTAGGAACAAGAGGACCGCAACAAGCTTGCTACCAGCTGGCCTGATTACTATATTGACCGCATCAACTCCATGGCAGCTGTAAGTACTTGCTTTATTACCTTTATGTTTCTAATATGCAACATGTTCAAGAGACACAGTTTCACACATCTAATACTGTATATTGATACACATGCAGCTGTTTACATTCACAGACATAACCGGCTGTTTATGTGAATTTTGTGTTTATGACAGTTGACACAAAAGAGCTGTTTCCTTGTGCATGCACTTTGTGTGTGCGCGCTCAGAAAACCATATTTCAGAAGTTTAAACTGATAAGGTTTTTTAAACGCAAAGAATAAACTTTTCATGATAAGGAAGAACTGCAAAGTCATGTGAGTGTGAACCTTATAGAGATGATAATCATAATTGATCAGATGCTTTATTTGTTGCGTGAGCTGCCAAGTACAGCCCTCTTCTGGAAAAGGGGGCGGGGAGAAGTATTTTACAGTGGCCGAGAAGTGCAAAACAAATCACAATTCTGAAAACAAAATAACAAATTACAAACGCAAATCCAAATCTAAAAAACAAAATAACAATTCAGAAAACACAACAGCAATTATGAAAACATTATAACAAGTCAGAAAGCACAACAACAAATTGGAAAACAAAATAACAAGTCAGAAAACACAAGGACAAATCGGACAAAACGGAAGAGGTAGGTATAGTTTGAGAATGGATTACTTACTGCTGACTGTACGAGATATCTGTCAAACAAGGTATACAGGAAGTACAGCAGACTAGTGGTAAATAATTTGGAGATGTTCGTAAAGTAGCTCAGTATAAATAAGTATTACTCTAACTGTGGAATAAAATATGACGTGCTTCCAAATTTCAGTGGTTCATGCGGAAAAAATCTCAAGGTTTTGAAAGAGACACAAAAGAAAACAGCCATGTCAATTAACATTACGGGTAGCCTAGATAGTGATAATATATCTAGAACGTGTCTTGCCGCTGTGATGTGATGTGATGCACTGTGACCATTTCAACGGACCGTTTCCTCAGAAGTTTTTTTATATTTTCATTTAAAAAAATATGCATGGACGTTTCTAACACTGTACTCTGTGTTTTATTACCTTTGAATCAGATTATAAGATAGTTGACGCTAATGCGAGGGTGTTCTAATACAGCATCTGGGAGTGTTGGTAAATTTGACATAGTTCTCTTCTGACTGCCTGTCACAATCACCACCTGGAGTGCCCATGAGCTCCACCAGTGGGCACTCCATTCCTGACTTTTACCATTCACCCAGGACTCCATTTCCCATAATCCTTTGCCCGGACTCATCTGCACTCATCATCAGTTGCAGTCACCTGTCTCTCATAACCTCATCAGTCTCACACTATAAGAATGGCACACAAACACTATCACATCGCGGAAGTCTGTAATGTTTCCCAGTCTTCTGTGTTTCCTTGCCTTGCCTTGCCTTGCCTTGCCTTGCCTTGCCTTTGTTTTCTTTGATCTTGGACTGTTTTCTGGTTTGTTATTGTTTGCTGCCTGCCCTGCCCTTTGCCTGTTGCTGGATTACCCTTTTGGATTACCTTGTGTGCTACTGTTTGCTGGTGTTTTGAGCCTGCCTGTCTAACTACGTCTTAATAATAAAGCCTGCATTTGGATCCACATCTCCGTCGTCGCGCCTCCTACGTTACACTGCCGTTATCAGTATTTTTTTTTTCTAACTATGTCTTAATAATAAAGCCTGCATTTGGACCCACACCTCCGTCGTCACGCCTATCGTGGCATTTTTCTTTTGCTATTTGGGCAAATGGGAATGCAAATAAAAGAAGGCAGAGGTATGTTCAATTGTTTTTTTTTTTTTTATGTGGTGTGGAGAGAATATACAGTATGTATTTAAAGAGGAGAATATAAATATAAAATATCAAGCGTTCAACAGTCTTTTTATTAGGAAAATTGAACTGGAATTAAGATACATAGTTCATAGCCTACATAGTTCAAAAACTCTTTTGGATCACCAGAAATATAGAAGATAAAATATAGTTTTTTTCATAAAATAAGTTTGTCTCATAACAGCTGTACACAAAGCAGTGCGGCTTTCATAAACGTTACCTTATCAGGCATTATTCAGGCATTATATTTAAGATGAAATGAAAATGACATTGAAACTTTTCTGAAGACAGATTATTAGCTACCATTCTATTTGGTGGATCACCAGTCACATATGTCATCAGGTTGTGGCTACAGTGTCCAATAAAGTGATGCCATTTTTCAAAAAGGTTTTTCTGAGTCATCGTTTCACATTGTTACAAGGTTCTGCGATGTAATGCAAATAGATCAAGTGTAATAAAATGTACTTAAGTTTTTATTTTGGGTGTTTACTTCCCACTAGCCTGAAAGACATTATGGAAGCAAAATAGCCCAAAATCTCAAAATTGACCGTTAGACTGGACATGGTTTATAGCTTTTCTGAAGCATGCCTGACCTGCCATGATCACTTTTATTTGTTTAAAAGTAAAAGTTTGACAAAAATCACTTGTATTTCAGATGCAGACACTATTTGCTTTTGAGGAAGAGGAAATGGAGATGAGAAACAAGGTGGTAGAGGATCTAAAGACAGCCCTCCGGACTCAACCAATGAGGTAAGAGAACTTAATTCTTTATATTGATCCATAATTCTGATTTCCAGTTCAAGGAGTCAAAAGTGAATACCCTGATTTAAAAGAGCTGCTCTCAGCAAACTAATTCCGGCTTGGATTATATGGGAAGTGCACTTTTCTACAGATTAGGATGTCTCTGCCATCTGTGAGGATTGGCATGGAGGCGAACATTACTGCATTCATCTTTGTCTGTGACTGTCTGATACTGGTTGATCACTACTTCTGAACACATTTAAGTGCTGTGTATCATTCATTTAGCTGAAACAGTGACTGACTGCTTCCTGTATTCAGTCCTGGGCCTTTTTGTACATAAAAACAGTCAGAATGAGACACCAGTATCTTTTTTCCCTTCAAAGATTAACTTATCTTTGAAATATATTTCATTGCCAAGCCCATGCTGTCTTTAGACCATTAGTCTTGAGTCTCTTTCATCACTGCTGGCAAACAGAACCAGAGCTTTTTTCTCTGAGTCACAAAGAAAAATGTCTAAGCTGTCAGTCACACTGTACCCAGTCGTCTAGACATATAAGGCAACTTAAACGGGACTGACTGTTAAAATAACTGCTTCCACATTGCCATAGATGAGGGACCATATGGACCATGCACTTCAGTTTTTTTGTGGTCAGTTTTGTCACTTAATGTTAGATGGTTTATATTTGTGATCTTGGTTCTTTAGAGAGATAAATTGCAGTGTCATCTGAGTGACCCCAGCAGTGCAAATTCAACAACTGCTTTGAGTGAAGTAAGGGGCCGTTTACATGACAACGTTTTCAGCCAAAAACTGGAAACCTTTTATGTGTTTTGCCTGTTCGTTCACAGGACAACGGCATTTTGGGGACTGAAAACGCATAATTTTGCAAACGGGTTTCAAAGTGCAAGTTTTTGAAAACACCACCCTTATTGTTTCCATGTAAACACCCAATACGGGAATCTTTGAAAATGGTGACGTCATGCATGTGCGTAGTACATGTTAGGTATGTAGATAATACAGCGTTTTTGGCAGTTTTCACGAATATGTGTAAATGCGAATCGTTTTGAAAACGTTGTCATATATACGTGAAACTTTTTAAAAACGCAAGGGAAAAGCTTTTCCGACTACATCGTTGTAGTGTAAATGTAGCCTAAGATGGACACAACTCAAGCAGCCTGCAATTTAAAAGCAATCAAAAAATTATTGGCTATAAATAGAAGTAACCCATGAATTTTTATGACAAGTTCTTCAAGAGCAGCTAGCTGGGTCTCGGATGTAATCCACTAATGGATGTAAATGTGGCTTTGAGGCTTGAAGGTATTTTTTGCACCTCATCAGTGCCAGTGCAGGAATTACTTTAAATGAGCAGAAGTAAATTAAAATATTGAATATCCAGTTTACGTAGTAGTGAAATGTATTAAATACAAGTCAGCCCGAGTGCCAACTTTTTTCATACAATTTTAAGTGTTTATTTCAATTATACTGTTTTTGCAGTTGTAGCTTTATTACCATCAGCTAATTTATGGCTTTAGGAGTAATTTTACACTGTTCTAACAAGTGCCATAATTAGATGATGTAACATCCACATCTGTCATGCAGTAACCGACTTTTTTCCAATATGGAAAATGGTGCAAACACTGCCCACATGAAAACTCAAGCAAACATTATTTGCGATGTTATTACAGCCTTTTGAAGACCAGATCATTTGCAACAATCTGACGTAACCTACAGTAGTAAAAAGAGGTAAAAGCTCTCTTTGCGGATCAGGTTCACAGGTAAAAAAAAAAAAAAGTTACAGTTAGCACTGTACAGATGTTTACTGCTGTCAAATAATTTTCTGGAACAATGTCACTCCATATTTGCTTCACAATCTCTTGAATGTTTTCATTAATATCAAAACAGGTACAGAGGAATTTTTAACTACTGTAGCTAATGTAAGATAATAAGAAAATAGTAAGATCCTCTGTTTTATTAACATTTGTTAGCCCTTATTTAATACTTCTCAAGTTGTGATGTAAAGGCTATTTTTTAAAACATAAAAAAATACAAAATCCTGCCCCAACTTCCTGTTAAACAGGAAATTTGTCAACAGAGGGGAAAAAGGACATGCCAAAGTCTGTGCTAATGTGTGGTAATACTATTCAAATCTTGTGTGTCTCATTTTATCATTGTTTAATGATCTAGGACAGGGGTGCCCAAACTCGGTCCTGGAGGGCCGGTGTCCTGCAGAGTTTAGCTCCAACTTGCCTCAACACACCTCAGGACAGGTTTGAGAACCAATGCTCTATACCAGGGGTGGCGAACGTCGGTCCTGGAGAGCGTCGGTCCCTCCGGTCCTGGACCGGAGTTCGCCACCCCTGCTCTATACCACTCCTGGAGAGCCACAGCCCTGCAGAGTTCAGCTCCAACTCTAATTAAAACTCACCTGCCTGTAGCTTTCTAGTAACCCTTCAGACCTTGATTAGCTTGTTCAGGTGTGTTTGATTAGGGTTGAAGCAAAACTCTGCAGGGTTGCGGCTCTCCAGGACCGACGTTCGCCACCCCTGCTCTATACACTTGCTATCTTTGCTCAGTAGACAGTTAGCCTGCTGAGACAAAAGTATCATTCATTACTTAGTGCATACAATCTGCCACTTACAGTTAATAACACTGAAAGCAGGAAGATAAATGCGGCACCATGATGATTTGTCTCCGACAGCTCAGTACTATAGGTCATTTTTATGCGTGCCATGAACACACAAGTTACTTAATCTGTTATGCATTTTGAGTTGAGTGAGATGAGTTTGAGAAGACAGCAGTGTCGTCCTGGCCACTTCAGTCCCTATGCCATCCTTCTAATTTTTCTTCTTACTGCCCAACTTTTTGTGTACTTTGCTAGTGAAGGAATTACATACTTGTGAGTTTAGCATGTTGAGCTGAGTATGTAGAAAGTAGTGCTGTCAAACGATTAATCGCATACAAAATAAAAGTTTTTGTTTAATTGATATAATATATAAATATTTTAAATGTATAAACTTAACATATTAAATTTCTCTTAAATATATACATGCATGTGTGTGCATTTATATATACATAATAAATATACACAGTACACACACATATTATGTAAACAACAACTTTTATTTTGGATGAGATTAATCGTGATTAATCATTTGACAGCACTAGTAGGAAGTAAATTATGTATATAGTTAGTAATGTAAAATGTCTTCATACCTGTTCCCCATGATACTCTTTCAGACACTTAACCTCACACTGTTTATGCATGTAAACATTACTAAGTGGTGCATACATTAATTAACTGGTTTGGCTTCTTGACATATAATTCAGTTTTGTATTTGTATTTGTATTACACTGCCATCTCACAGCAAAAAAGTCCTCCAAATATCCTTTTTTGGATATTGTCTTCAAGTTTGATGTGCTCAACCTTGTTTTTTTTTTTAGTCCACATTCTGGAAGGAGTGTGCAGATGGCAAGCTTTTCTTAATTTGGCCCCACGACACAGGGCCTCTGTCTTCACACCGCTGGTCAGCCAACACAAAATGTCACTCCAAAGCAAGATAGGTTTCACAACATCCTCCCGAAGACCCTGAACCTCTCACCACCACAATGAGGGGCTCAGATCGGGAAGAGTACTTGTGTCAAGTCAGTGAGAGATATGGCGGCAACATGTCTATTGATCTTTTGAATTACTGAGGTAGTACTTCTGCACCTTTAAGAGGGTGATTAAAATTTGTAATTTATGACATGGAAAATGTGATCTAACTAAACTCACTGTGGTTCAGTTTAGGTCACTGGAAAGTATGTTCAGCTTAAGGAATGTTTTTAGCTATGTTTGGACAAAAATGCCTTATTATTCTGAGGATGAAATGTCAGTGGGGTTTCAATAAAGAAACAGCCACCTTCTTCCCCCTCTTCTGCAGTTTGTGTAAATAATCTGACGTCCTCTCTCTCATCATAACCAAATATTAAGTTTCAAAATACTGATGATATGACCTCAAAGAGGTCCAAGTATGTGAAACTCAACTCTTTTTTTCACATTTGTCGAATGCTTTAATGGAAATTGCACCCTGGAATGCTTTAAGCGTTTGGACGGATTTGTGTTTTTCTCTCTGTGCTGTGAGAAGTGTAGTAGCTAGGTCCATTGAGCATCAGTGACTGAAGGAAAATAGAGTAAAGTGCAAGAGATAGCTTTAGGCAGCTCAGAAGTCATCCTGTGAGGCATGGTTTGTGTTGGCAATGGTTTAAAGGGACAATGAACTACCCCACCTGTGCCCCCTACATGCTCAGCTTCCAGGGTAATTTACACACTCCTGGCTGCTCTTTCCAGATTGGTGAACTGTAACTGATACGCAATACTGCACACGTGCATGCTTTTGTTCACATTTAGTCTGGCTGAGTGTGACTGGGAACAGGTCAGTAAGGCACTTTATCAAGGCTCAGCTGGCTTCATTTTATTGCTTATTTTACTGCTCATGTTATGATTATCCCATATGCTCACTAAAGACTTTACAATCACTTTTTAAGACCAGATAAACCTAAAGCACCTAAATAGCTTTAACCTTTTAAACCATCAGATCTAGTGTTTCATATGACATCTTTCCAATCTATTTTTTTTTTTTTACTTAAGTTCAGCAGTCAAGGGGGCTTGGGCCCTGGTGACACATCTGGACCATGTGTCAAAGCGGCTAACGCATATGAGTGCACTTTCTGATTTGTAGCGTCCCATTCAGTTGTTCCCTCTGAAACTTTCTACAACTTGTGTTTTTTCTTTCCTTTTTTATAGCCTTGGAAGCTATTGTGTGTCACTCCAGTGGTTTTAGAGAAAGTAGCGTTTGCGCAGTTCACTTAATACCAGGATGCTGTCAACATTCTACACATGTTTCAATCTGGCATTAGTGCTTTGCATAGTACTGAGTCAGCATTGCTTAAGGTTACAGATGACATTGTTATCCATTGATTCTGGGTCATCTGTCATCTTGATATTGTTAGATTTAAGTACTACATTTGACAC